TTGGACTGCAACGCACATCGCGGCTAGCTTTCAACACGCGATGTTGTCAATCTTGCTTGTACGCGAGAGCTGCACTGATCCACTTCAGATCAATTTGTTTCAGTGGCGCTGGAACAAGGGTACATAAATTCAATAATTGAATTTATGTACCCTTGCGCTGGAAGGAGGCCACCGACACGGATATCTGCCGTCGTGTGAGCGCCGACGAGCTAAGTGCCAGAGACGCCACATAACCAAAGAGGCAACGTGGTTGTAGGCGCTTGCAACGCGATCGATAAGTCTAAATGTCCATTTCGTGCACGTTACTACTGCTAATAGACCAACATGCCACTCAAGTACGACACGTAGCTTGCTCAGCAACTCAATTGATCGGATTAGAGGGCGTAAAAGAGCGCGTACACGCCTGCCCACTTACGTCTGAGGATCTCCATCGAGATGCGCGTTGCTCGCGCATGGGCTTTGATAGCTGCCTCGTCATCTTTGTCGACGTTGAGCTTGAGCGTCACATTCGTGCAACCCTTGAGCGCGTTGAGGAGAACGAGAAAATCCTCAGTGCAAACGATGTCGCAGTCAAAGTAAGAGGCTCGTAGGTCGAGAGCGAATGGCCGTGCATCGTTCGAGCGCGCGCGGAGCGACTGCGCAAGGCAGGGGATGCTCGCCTTCACAAAGGCGCAGGATCGAAGCGACAAAGCTGAGAGCGTCTGCGTCCACTTGATGATGGCTTGTTGGACGAGATCCAAAGTGCGAGTCGGATATTCGCACTCCATGTTGATCCAGTGCAGGTCGTCCAGTTGCGGCAGCTGCGTCGTCCAGTCGACGAGTGCTTCGAAGCTGGCGTCGTCCACCTCCACGTCCTTGATCTTGAGCACGCGTAGGCTCGGCAAGCTATTGAAGAAACTTATTGCTACCGTGAAGGGCTCAAAGTTGGGTAAATTGTGAAGGGAGAGCGCACAGCTTAACCTCAGCCTACCCTGGTTATCACCGCCCAAAACATGCATATGACATACACTCTTGTGGTAGTTCTAGAACACTCATGTAAGGCCTTATACTCATCTCCATATAAATGCTCCTCTCAACAGGGACAGTGCAGAGCAAGCTACTGCCTATTGGCTGCTGTGCAGGCACAAGTGCTATAGTCCTGCTCCATAAAGTCCTTGTCCCATAGTGACGTCATGGGTGGCGTCCTCATCTCATCATCCTATTGGTCCGACAATGTGTGCCATAGTTCTTGTCCCATATTGCACATCCTTTCTAGAATGTACACATGAGCTTCGCTCAGTGTGCAGTCTCTCCAACTAACACTCCCACTCAGTAGCTTGGTCTCACTCTCTTCTTCCATACAGGTTGTCCTTTGTTATTGTCTCATGTACTAGTACAATTTTGTCTCTTCTCAAATGATCGATCATGTTTCTCTTGTGAATATTGTTCTCTCAACAACGTTGTCTTTATCTCATAGCTCATCTCGTTTCTCTTCTCATAGCTCATCTCATATATCTCCTCATGGCTCATCTCATAGCTTTTCTCATACATTATACTGTGATAAATCATGCACGCCCATTCTCTCTCTCAAAGTCTCAAACTGCCCCACAGGTAGGGCTTTCGTAAGAAGGTCTGCAAGCATGTCCTTCGTGTTGCAGTAATCCACTCGAACTCTTCCTTTCTCAACAATATCTCTCGTGTAGAGATATCTGGTCTCAATATGCTTTGTCGTCTTGTGGTTGACTGGGTTCTCAACTATCCCAATCGCTGCCATACTATCGCACCACACTTGAACGCTCTCTTTCTGCTCAACTCCTAGTTCGCTCATAAGATGCCATAACCATTCACTCTCTTTAACCCCTTCACTAAGAGCAATCAGTTCCGATTCAGCAGTAGACGTGGCCACACAGGCTTGCTTGCAGCTTGCCCACGAGACACAAGTTCCTGCCAAAAGAACTAAGTATCCTGTTACACTCATACGATCGTTATGTTGATTCGCGAAGCTTGCGTCTGTATAGACCTCATACTCAGTGGTACTGGTGTTTCCGTTGACCAAAAGTCCATACGTAGACGTCGCCTTCAAGTAACGAAGTACTCGGAGGGCAGCTCTATAATGAGTCTCATTGTAACACGACAGATACTTGCTCAACTCTCTAACTGCATTCGCAATATCGGGTCTGGTACCGCGCACCAAGTATTGTAGCGAGCCCACTAATCCTCTGTAATCAAAGGGTTGCGCCGCAATCTCTTTTTCGCTCTTACTCCTTTCAGGCTCCAAAGTGACTCCCACTAATTGTGGCGTCGCTACTGGTGTGCAGTTTGACATCTCATACTTCTCCAAAAGGTCGCGAATATATTTCTCTTGTGAAATAGTCATCAACTTTCGCTCATAGTCTCTCTTTACGCTCATCTTCAGGATGTAGTTGATTTCTCCTAGATCCTTCATTTTGAAACGCTCACTTAGCTCTCGCTTCAGCTCATTGATCAGCTCCATCGACTTGGACATGATCGTAAGATCGTCCACGTAAACAACTACAATGATGACTCTCTCTTCCTCTCCATCTCCCACCTTTTTGACGTAAATGCAGTACTCTTTGTAGCATCGGCTAAAGCCAATTTGCGTCAAAAACTCATGCAGCATCAAGTACCAAATTCTTGGTGCTTGTTTCAGCCCATAGATACTCTTGATCAATTCGCAGACCAAATGTTTCTTTCCCTCAATCTCAAATCCGGGTGGCTGGCGCATGTAGATGCGTAGCTTTGCCGGTAGATAGCCGTTCAAGAACGCTGTATGGACATCCATCTGGTGAATGATCCATCCGTTGACGACACCAATGCATAGCACTAGACGTAAAGACTCAAAGCGTGCTACTGGTGCATACACCTCATCACAATCAACTCCAAACTCTTGGTGGTTTCCCTGGACCACTAATCTCGCCTTATACCGCTCAATTGAATCATCGGCATTGTACTTAACAGAAAGAACCCAATGGCATGGTAGTGCCTTACGGTCCTTGGGAAGCTCCACTAGTCTCCATGTCCCATTATCCATGAGGGAATCATACTCAGCGTTAAGGGCGGCAGCCCACCTAACTCTATCACTCCCGCTAAGGGCCGCCTTAATGTTGCGCGGAATAGGCACTAACGCTGGTGCCCCTGGTGATGCTCCCACCTTTCTCTTGCTCTCCGACACTTTCTCATACCCTTGTGTCTTGGGGACAGGGGTTTGTAGTTGACCCTTATGCTCAACTCCCACTGTCGCGCATGTTACCAGCTCAGTCGCGCCTCTTGATCGCGTGGGATATCGGCGGATACGACGCTCTTTATGAAGCCGTTCTAATGCTGTCGTGCCGATAAGAATTCCCTGAGGATGCAGGTGCCCTGCATCTGACGCGAGACTTTCGGTTTGGATCTGTGGTGCGACTCGCGACGATCCTAGCTCTATTAGATCGCGTTCGTCGGGAAGAGGTCCGGCAGCCTTGCGCTTCCGCGAGTTCCTGATGATCTCTAGGCTCTTAGTTCGCGAAGCAGACTCGTCCGGATCAGGGTTTTGCTCGACTCCCTCATCTCTTAGTTCTTCATCAGGCTCCACCTCCATAATTGCTCTCATTTCCTCTTCACTCAGATCCTCTAAACTCCTGCTCAAATGCACCTCTGATTGTATCTGCCAAATACGTTGAGTCGAATTTGACATCACGAGCCACAATCAATCTCTTCTCAGAAAGCTCCAACAGTCGATATCCTTTGTGACCATCCGCAATTCCCAGAAATCGACACTTCATTGCTCTTGCAGAGAGTTTCTTATCGATTCGGATCTCCTCGGGAATATGGGCATAGCATATACTACCCCACACATGCAGGTCTCTTACGTCTGGCTTCTCTCCATACAATATCTCATAAGGCGTCTTATATCCAAGACGGGCCATAGGTGTCCGATTCTGGACATAGGTCATATAGTGGAACAACTCAGGCCACCACTTAGCTGGAAGCTTAGCATCCAGTAATGCACAACGAATCTTTGCCCATTTCGTCTGAAAGTCTCTCTCTGCAGCTCCATTCTCTTCCTTATAGTATGGATTCGACGTTTGAAATCGAATCCCCTTGCTCTTGTAGAACGTCTCTAGTGTTGCGTTAGCAAACTCTCTCCCACCATCCGTGCGAATGATTTTAATCAAAGTCTTTCCTTCTCTCTCAATCTCCAGTAGTTTCTCCTTGAACAACTTTGATACCTCACTCTTCTGCTTGAGTACCATTGCCCATCGATAAGACGAGTGATCGTCAATGATGGTGCACCCATATCTCACTCCTGTCAAGATTCCGTAAACACCTTCTTGTTTTACGGGTCCACACAAATCCGCATGCAAGGAACCGAGTGTCTCCTCAGGTCGAGAACCCGTTGTGTTACGGTATGACATTCTCCTATCCTTCATGGTCATGCACGTATGGCATGTCAGCTTGACATGACTCAAAGCTCCCTCTGGTAACCGTGGTAGACCGATTACAGCTCCTTTTCTAAACATGCTCATTATAGTTGCAAAATTGAGATGACCTAATCTCAGGTGCCACTCCATCAGCACTTTCTCAATATCCTTAGTTGCTACAGTTGCCAATCGACTTGGTTGCAACTTAATTGCATCGCATCGAACTTGGCGCTCTCTCAAAGATATGCTCTTCACATAATATGCACCTCCAATAGAAAGGGCTACAAACGCCAATCGTCTGTCTCTCAAGACGTATTTGTAGTTGCCACAGGTGCTCTCCAAAATCTGATATCCATCTCTCTTTAGAGCATTCTCACTCAAAATATTGGAGGTTGCCCCAGGTACCAATGCTACCTTACGAAAGGTAAACGAGCTTACTCCATCCTTGGAATCAAACCAAACTCTAATGGTTCCCAGAGCAGTGTTTTTCTTCTTAGTTCCTTCTCCAAAAGTAAAACTAAGCTCTTGTCCGGGCTCTTGGACGTGAACACGCTCTCATCACTCGTCAAATGATGACCACAGCCACCATCAAGTGCCCACTCACTCCTAGAAAGCACTCGGGGTGTTAGTGCATGAGGTATCATCCGCTGAACCAGTTGGTCCATGCATCTCGAGAGTCTCATCGCTCTTTCACTCACCTCACTCAGGATCGCGTCAGCACTGCCGAGATCAATAAAACCGAGCTCATTCGACAGGCCCATGTCATCGTCGTTGGACGGCGAGTCGATCGGAACCGATGTATCGACGGTGTCGACACGCACATCACGATCTCGCTCTTGCTCATGGTTTTGGGCAGTAGACTCATGCCCTTGAGCAGACTCATGGTGGATAAGGTTGGAGCTCACCTCACGTCGGCCGCTCTTGAACTTCTCCGTGATGTTGCGTCGGAAACGCTTGGCCGCAAAATCTTCTTGACGCTTCTTGCACTCATGCTTCTTGTGTTTCTTGCCGTCGTTGAGGAAGTTGAATTCGCCGAGGCAATAGAAGCACTCGCCGCCGGGCGTCGCATCGCTTGCCTTCCGCTTCTTGGTGTTGATTTGGTTGACTTGGAACTTCTCGCGGTTGGGCTCCTTGTCCGGGTTGAGGCTCATGATCTCCTTCTTGGACTTGTCGCCAAAAATCGCAATCATCTTGCGCTCCACGTCAGCCGGGCGAAATGACTCGGGATCGAATGTCGTCTGGCCGCCGTAGTACTGCGCCGGAAGTGCGCCGAGGATGAGTAGAGACGTCAGCTCCTCCGGGATCAAAGTGCGACCGAAGACTTCATCATGAGGCTGTTGAGGACCTCCGCGTCCGTGTTCATCTTGGTGTAAAGCTCTTCGACCTTCTTGAAATCCTTCGTTGGCGCCGAGACGTACTCCTTGAGCAGTCGAGTCACCGTCGTGATGTTGGACTCGCTGTACTTCTTCTGGATGTCACGCAAGCACACGCCCCGTTGCCGCTACTGGAATCTCGGGCTCGGTCTCAAGCCACTCCTTGTACTCTGCGAGAGGCTCGGGACGCATCTTGTCGTTCGAGTTGAGGTACTCCTTCTTGTGCTTGGCTGTGAGCTCGTCGAGTAGACCCATGAACTTGACTTCCCACGTGCCGAAGGTCGACTTGTTGCCATCAAAAGCGAGGAGTTGAAGGTTCATCTCTTTCGCTGTCGCCGTCATGCCGAGTACCGGGATACTTGAAGTATTGAAGAAACTTATTGCTACCGTGAAGGGCTCAAAGTTGGGTAAATTGTGAAGGGAGAGCGCACAGCTTAACCTCAGCCTACCCTGGTTATCACCGCCCAAAACATGCATATGACATACACTCTTGTGGTAGTTCTAGAACACTCATGTAAGGCCTTATACTCATCTCCATATAAATGCTCCTCTCAACAGGGACAGTGCAGAGCAAGCTACTGCCTATTGGCTGCTGTGCAGGCACAAGTGCTATAGTCCTGCTCCATAAAGTCCTTGTCCCATAGTGACGTCATGGGTGGCGTCCTCATCTCATCATCCTATTGGTCCGACAATGTGTGCCATAGTTCTTGTCCCATATTGCACATCCTTTCTAGAATGTACACATGAGCTTCGCTCAGTGTGCAGTCTCTCCAACTAACACAAGCGAACGTTGGAGAGGGTGGCTCGTGACACCGTGAGCGTAATGTTGCAGAGTGCCAGCTCTTGGAGAAGCGGCATCTTCAAGAGCGAGACGAACCAGCTCCGTCACCAAGGGCGTCAGCCACGAGGCGTGTGAGCTTGGAGAGATCCAAAAGAAAAAAGAGGCTGCCGGCCCAGTCGATGTCGTTGTCCGTATCGATTTTGACGTCCGTGAAATGCCAGAGAGGACGTTGTGCTGCCGCAAGTGCATGGATGAGGACATCGGAGTTGATCAACGCCACGCTTGTGACGGAGATGGTCGTCACCAGCATCTCGGCCATGGCACCAGCACTTGTTTCCGAGTCGAAGTTATCCACAGCGAGGCGTTTGGCACGCCCCGTCTTGAGCCACCGTGACAGGGCCGCGAGATCATCGGGGCCATACTCTTGGCCTTGAAGAGTCAACTCGCAAACGCTCGGCGGCAGCAGCGGCAACGTCGCAGCGAGATCGCACTCGTAGACGGTTGCGTGCACGAGCCGCGTGCACATCGGCAGAAATACTCGCAAGGGCGGCTTTACAAACCGATACATGTACGAGAAATCCATCGCTGTGAGCTTGGGCGCCAGTGCGGCTAACACGGCCGCCACGTCGAGGTCGCAGTCGCGGAGATGACGTTCCGTCGACAATATCGTGGTGACCTGCACCGCCGGAATGACGGGGAGCGCGACTAAGACGAGTTTAATGTAGTCGCGCGGGACTTGCCCGAGATGAACCATGGGCCACTGCCCGTCAAAAACCTTCGCGGTGGTCATGAGCCGGCGGAGCGCGGCCAGCGGCGCCGTGAGCTCGTCGTGAGGGATGGCCAAGAGGATGGCCTTGGCGTCCAGGCGCGCGTCCATGTACTCGATGAGCGACCCGATGACCGCAGTCGGGATCGCCATCGCCGATGCATGCTTGGGCTTCTTCAGCATCTTGGAAGGTGGTGGAAATATAATAAACTGCCTGGTCTGCATACAAAACAAGAGATATACAATGGACCACCTGAAATACGCTTTTGATTGGCCGATTACGAGAACCCTTGCCCCAGACGCAGCGATCTTGTACGTGGCAGCAGGAGATGGAAGCACAGCTGCCAAGACCTTTGGCGTTGACGTCGCCCGCGATGTGGAAGATCTGTTCAACGGAGATACTCAACGCCACCACGCATGTGATGCACCGCCGTGGTTGACAAGTCGCATCGTCCTTTGGACGCGCTCGATCCTGCATGAATGCATTAGACTGCCTGCCACGCACCTTCGACCAATGCCCGAGCAGAGAGACCGACAAGGAGCGGATAAAGGATAGCGTGAGTGTGTTGTGACGGCCTCGAACATCATGGCGGTTACGTGCAAGCACAGACTTGTCGTGTTGCAGGAGTATTATAGCCAATGCCTATGCTCTATTCGACCCACATCCTACGAGGTAGTCCCCCCCAAAAAAATGGTCCCCCCCGCACTTGCCGTGCGTCCTCGCACCGTTGGAGCACTCAACTGTTTAGTCTGGTTGCATTTGGAATGACATGTATCGACTTTTTACAAGTGCGCTAAAATGGGCTCTTTCTAGAGCACAGCTATCGGTAGTTGCGGCGCTGTGACGTCGAGAAGAGCGACGTGCCCTTCTTGGTCGTCTTCTTGAACTTCATGTTGG